AAGGAAATTCCTGGAGTTCGGCCGCAGTTATTTTTATAAAATATAAATAATATATATATATAATAACACTAATTCTCACTAATTTTAATATATCAACACGAAATTTGTTTTATTTTATATTATGTAATGAATATGTAGTCACCTATTTCCTCGGTGAATTTCTTAAATAGCAATAATAAGCACTCCACTAGCGACACTGTCGAGTTTTTGGCGGGAGCTTGACCGGCGGCGGTTTGCTGCTCTTGTATTATAGTTTAAATAACAGTTTGAAGTGGATTTTGACATGTAAAAGTGGTGCGATTTTATATATTAACTGTCTACGCATGTGAACTATTAGTGGAAACGGTGAAACAAGTGCTCTGATGGTGATGGATTCTCAAGATTATTTTTGAAATTATACATTTGGGGAAATTATAATAAACCGAATAAAAATACTCAAGACTTGGCCTAAAGGTCTAGATACCAGGCCATAAACTCCAAAAAGAAAAAAAATAGCGACACTATCAACCTCTACGATTTCTTTACCTGGTAGGTAGCTTCTGCTTCAAGGGAGTTATCAAAGCTCAGGTTAATAAAGAATTAAGTTTGATATTATAATATAAAAGTGTTGCAATTTTGTTTCAGAAACTTTTTGATTTTGCTAAAAAAATTAACGCCAGCATAACTGCTGTAATTTTTTTTAAGAACTGTCAAATATTAAATTCTAAATACTATGAAAATTATTATTAATGCATGGACAAAGGGATAATGTAATAAGTAGGTACAGATTTTAGATAATTATTCTATTGAAATTGAAAGCCTTGTAGTTAGTGCAATAATTTAAAAAATTAACAATACTTTCATTCTTTTCATTCATTTTATTAAAACACAGTGTTGTCAGTTTAGGCAATTTACCCATAATATTGGGGGAGGGGGTAAAGGACAAAGAATATTTAAAAATGATAAAATCATAGAATTATTACGCAGTAGAAACGCAGTCTAGTACAAAACACGAGCGTTAAGGTGACGCAAAGTCATTATGTTAGTGGGCGCGAGCCGAATGTGACTACGCTCGTCACACGCACACATACACGCCATTCAGTGATACCAGTTTCTGGCATTTGCAATCAAATTGTGCAAATCACTATTTTATTGATTAATTTTAAATAATCGATATAATAAAGATTACGTATTACATACGAAGACGTATTTTATGAGAATATAGAATGGAATTTCCATACGTGGTAGAGACATGCTGCAGCTATATTTCTGGTATAGTTGTAACACGAATGGGTCGGCTCGACCAGGGTAGGACTACGCTCTCACAGAATACCAGCGTAAAATAGCAGCTTAATGCTGCTGTGTTTCGTATGGTGAGTGTAGAGAACCGGAGACCCTTTTTACTAGAAACGAGGCATTCCATCTTAGTCTTCACGGCTGACAACGCATCTGCATTTTGATTCGTAATCGAGGATAAATGTAGATGTCTATGGGCCACAGCAACCACTTACCATCAGGTGGACTGTGTGCTCGTTTGTCACCCTTATCCTATAAAAAAAAACACGATAGTGATGGTACTAATATAACTTTATTATACATAAATTAATAGTACGAAAATGCAGATGTAAATAAATTTAAGAATATTATTGAACACAATTAATTTGCTCGAATATAATAAGCACATCGTGTAATGTTTAATTTTAAAAGACTTCAAAAAAGGAGGAGGTTATCAATTCAGTGTATTTTTTAATTGTTTCTTACCTTAGAATTCTACAATTTCTAAACTGATTTAGATTTATTTATTTGAAAGGATATACGCACAGATCGATCTAATATACACGCTGAAATTTTAATGGCTGTTTTCCCGAAGTCAAATGATTTTGTCTTGATAGAACTAGATTTATTAAAATAAAAATTTTTAGGATGCAAAAATGGCAGATTTACAATCGAGAAAAACAAAACTCGAATGCAATCTCAAACCAATAGCAATATCTCGCAAGTAGATCGGGCGTGCAGGCTAGTTTATAGTGTATTACTATAATACAGTCTGAATAACAAAGTACTCGCTGGACGTAATGTAGTGTTAAGTCTATCCCACGCGCTACCGCGCGCAGTCTACAAAGTGAAGGGCCACTAATAAATGTTCAGGGCATGAACTCTCAAGCGTAGTGATACGACAAAACTAATCTGGACGCCCGACTAGCTTGTGAGGTATTACTATTGTAAATCTGCCCTTTTTTACTAGTAATATTTTTTATTTTAATAAATTGACTCTACTAACCAGACAGCATTATTTGCATGCGGGACAACAACAAATAAATTTTAGCATGTATATACGAATTGATCTAGAATCGTCTTAGAAATCAGTGTACAAACGTATTGATAACCTCTCCTTTTTGGGAGTCCGTTTAACATCTGGTTAGTCAAGGCGTTCTTATTAATAATCCCTTGATGTTGTAAGTAAAAAAAGTTTTTATTCTATACTCTAAAACGTGGACTTAGTCAATAAACAAAGCAATTGATATAAAATAGATGTGTTGATAGTTGTGGCGTCGACGAATCGCGATTAGCTGATCACTCCGTATTAGTTTTAAGTAGTCACCCATTGTTAATATATAAACATCTGAGTTTTACACAGAGCGTTGCGATTAAACGTTTTAAACACAAATACAAAATAAATATTTTTAAAAGAAAAATTGTGATTTTTTCCCCACAACTAGCAACATTTGTATCATGATAACTTAGGTAAGTATTTTTTTAGTTTTACGTACTTATAATGAATTAAATACATAAACTTATATGTGAAATGTAATATCATCATTTCCTTTATGTTGATCATCACTGTTGTGACAATATTTTACAACACAAACGGTCATTTTTACAATTTTTTGCGAGCACTTCTCCGTAAGACGTGATGTTGCACACTAACGCTTCGCTGAGTGAACTTTCGCGGTTTCGCGTTATTTTTACTTGCTTCACCTTCGGTGCGCGTACTAGTATTCTATACGTAATAATTCTATGGATAAAATATTTGATATTACGTAAAATATACGTTACAATAGTTAAATAGGCAAAATATCGCTTAAAAACATAACTGCTCGGGGCAAACTGAGCAACAATACCAAGGCGACCCCTGCCACGCTAAATGTGAATTTCTGCAACATCAGGGGACTTCACTCGAACCTAAACGCCGTCCACTATTATCTCGAGACGGCGAAGCCGGCCTTACTCTTTCTGACCGAGACGCAGGTGTCCTCTCCGGCTGATACTTCGTATCTCTTCTACCCGGGATACAAATTGGAGCACTCCTTTGTGCCTCGGGCTGGAGTTTGCGTGTATGTCAGAGTGGACATCTGTTCTCGACGCCTCGGCAGTCGTGAAGGTTCGGACCTGTCCATCCTTTGGCTACGCGTAGACAGCGACGACCATCCGCGCGTCTACGTGTGCCTCTATAGGTCCCATAGCGGTAATGCCGAAACAGACCGACTCATCGACCACGTCCAAATGGCTACAGATTCCTTGCAACAACAAGTCCCATCCGCACAGATCGTGATCCTTGGCGATTTTAACGCCCATCACGCCGAATGGCTTGGTTCATGTTTAACCGATCATGCGGGGAGATGCTGTTTATGACTTTTCCTTGGCATATGGTCTGACACAACTGGTTACTTCGCCTACGCGGATTCCAGATGTGGAGGATCATACACCTTTCCTGGTACCTTGGACCTTCTGCTGACCTCTCATCTGGACGGATATCAGGTTTCCGTCGATGCCCCTCTCGGCTCCTCGGACCATTGTCTGATTCGGAGTGTGGTGCCACTCACGCTCCTTTCGCGGTTGCGTTCTGCAGGTTGCCGCCGTGTTTGGCATTACAGGTCGGCGGATTGGGACGGAATACGGTCTTTCTTTGCATCCTACCCATGGGGGCGGGTTTGCTTCTCGCCGGATGATCCCAGCGCTGTTGCTGACTCTGTCACTGATGTGGTGGTACAGAGAATGGAACTATTTATTCCATCATCTGTGGTACCCATCGGAGGCAGATCTCAGCCTTAGTTTGGTCGCTCCTGTAAGACTGCATTACGCAGTAAGCAGGAGTGTTATCAAGCTTGGGCTGCGGTTTCGACGACTCAGGATGTAAACACCAGCATGCTTAAAAAGAAGTATAACTTCGCCTCCAGGTCCTTCAAAAGAGTTATTATCCTACGTAAATAAGTACTTTTCTTAGTCTGACGAGAGTGAGACAAATTAAATATTTTTATTGAAAAATATTTAATTTAATAAGTTAAGTTAAGTTAATAAGTTATTAACTTATTTTAAAATATTGACTTGGGGACTAAAAATCGAATGCTGGTAACCACTGGTTTATTTGACAGCATTTTGACAGTTGTGTTTTCATTTCATTCAATCAATATTTACGGTTCAGTTGAATTGTTGCAACGATAATATAACCGATATTTAGTTTTTATATCGTTATTGAAAACCGTTTTCAAATATCGATATTATAGTAGTAGTAGTATGAATAGTTTGCTCCTGAATGCGCAAAAGATAACCGAAACATAAACACAAACTGTAGAATCAGTACAACATTTATTTTAAGAATTACTTAGATTATTTTAGTTTAGAAGTCAGAGGTTCTAATATTATAATTTTAGATGTGATATTTAGACATGTATGTTAATATATAATTTATGTTAAATCATTGTTGTACAGTGATATATTCTAACGTTAATCGATATGATAATGATATTTTGATAACATAACGTGTTGCTATTTACATTTAATATATCGGTCTCATGCCTAGTTCAGTACAGTTCATCATTCAGTTCGGTCTTCCCTATACCTATATAAAAAAGTACTCTGTGATTAAGTCTTTGTGCGCCATTGCGCTATATTGCGCATTAATTTTGTGTGAGAGTTTAATTAATATTAATTTAATATACAAGCTTTAAAAGTTTCTAAAGCCTAATAATCATTATTCTTTCAGTTATTAAGTACGCGTGAGCTCGTGACCTAGGGTAGCTATGGCACGAGCGTCGTTTTGTTTGCCATTGGCACTGGCTTATCTATTTTTAGCCAGTGTGGTGCCATCATATGCTCAAAGTAAGTCTTTTTAATTTGATCATAAATGATCTATATATCTTTTTTTTCAATATCCTTATGATGATAAAGAAAAAACCCGCATGTAATGACCTATTTTAGCGAGTCGAAGCGGTGTCCTAGTTAAATGGGGTGATGTCATAGACGTCAGTGTCGACTACATGAACATTGATTATTGGCGTTAATGTAACATTTTATTAGGAATTTTTAGGGCAATTCGTTTCTTCCTGTTTGTGTAATAAGTTTAATTAGGTAGTTTTCTCTCTTCCTATTTTACAATGTCATTTACTTTTGTCTTGCATAGGAAATAATTTGTTGTTTTTTCCTTATTTAAAAACGTTTCTATTTGTACTCACCTATTATATCTTTTATTATTTAATGACATAATCATAAATTGTTTCCGCAATACTTTATATCTCATTTATGCAATCCATATTCTGTTTTCATGTTTTGATAATCATATTTATTTTTGTAATAATTTGATACATGTAGAAACCAATATTTAATTTCTTTGTTTCTATAGTGATTCATACTGCTCTACAAGAATATATTTATGAATATAAACAGTTTTATTGATTTTTCATTTGAGATAGTTTGTATTAATTATTTTAGGTCCTCTTGTTATGACAATATGAATCAAAGTGTTATAAATGCTGAAGAGTTATGAGGACAATTTTATTTTTGTTATAATTGTATGTTTAATTTCATACAGTCAATCATATATAAATTTTCATAGAAAGGGAATCCGTTTATAAAACTTGCACTTTGATTAACTTGGTTTTTCTACCGTCTTCAAAAAGGAGACTGTACTCAATTCAACTGTATGTTTTTTTATGTGTGTTACTTCATATCTTTTTTCTGGGTGGACCGATTTCAATGATTCTTTTTTTATTTGAAAGTTGGTGCTTCCATGTGGTCCCATATAAATTTGATCAAGGTCTGACCAATAGTATTGAGTTATTCTTGATAATTTATATTGAAGTTGGTTGTACTATTTTTTTTATGTTAAATTAATGTCTATTGTAACCAATATTAACAGAAATTTTATGTAAAATTTGACTTGAAAATGAAATGCAATTAGGGTGGATGCCCCTATTACCAGCCTTTTAGTGCCAATTTCAACTTTAAAAATTCTTGATATTTTAATTAGGGCACAATATTTTTAAGCATTTGTTTTAATCGATAGGTTATTTATGGACAAATGTAATGAACATTTATTTACAATCATATTATTTCAAGAACAATTTTAAAAACGATGATAAGTAAAAAAAGGTGTTATGGCTCAAATTCCAGCCACCCTGAACCGAATGTCGTCCTTTTGTGTACGTAATGTCAGCATAGCATAGGGTTATGCCTTTTCAGTTTTTGGTAGGTACCTATTGTAGGTAAGTTTTAGAGGCACAGAATTAATTTTTTATTATAATTTGTAACAACTTTTAATTTTGAATCTGCATGTCACAAGCATGGAATATGTATTAAGGCAGACGACAACATTATTTTATTTTAATGTTTTACTACTTAACTTACTGTGTTTTAGTTTAAAGCAGTTCAATAAATTAAAGCAAATTATGATAAAATATTATGTAATACATCGATTTCTAATAATTTAATCATCCAAGTTTTCAAATCATCATCATCATTACACCCTTACACAAGTCCACTACTGAACATCCTCCTCCATAGAAAGCAAAGCCTGGTCCTAAACCAATTTCCTTGTCATGAGTTTTTCATTTATGTTCTAAGTTATAGTTTTTGTTTGTGTATATACTATATTTATTGCTTGTTTTTTCTTCTTTCTCAAAAAATAATTGAATACATAAGGTGTTCTTAATATACACCGAATGTCAGATAGAAAAGCTAGTACTTACATCTTTTGATAAACTTTAAAATTTTAAACCAATTTTAAAACAGACGAATTGAGCACATTAACTCCCTTAACTATAAAATAAGTTATGATCTAATTAATGGTATTTATTCCAGTTTATGACAGCCCTGATTTATATTACGTGGCTGAAATTAGGTACATCTTATTAGGTACGTCAAACCAAATAACAGCCGGGCGGCTGACATTATGCACTCCATACATTTCGTATATCTAATTACAGCCCCATTAATTTCCACTAAAAGAAAATAAATAACTTGTAAATTTAAACAAAAATAACTGCATTACTATGTCTATAGTCATATTTATACAAATCAAAAAGCCTATATATGAGATAATGTAAAGTAAGCATAATTTTACCGGGATTACAACTTTTCAAAAAATTTGGAAAATAAGCGTTTTTCGTTGCGTACATGTTTTGATTTTTAATTTAACACTGTTAGGTTTAAAACTAGGAGGTAATATTTGAAATATACTTTCCCCTGGTTATGAAGAATTTTTTAGGTGACAATATTTGTAGTTAAGACTGCTAGAAATCTTATTTACGAAGTAAAAAGGCGAAAAGGCTGGAATTAGGGGCATGGCTGGTATTAGGGGCATCCACCCTATATAACGTATGATGTTTTGATGCTCTTTATCTTGTAGATATTTATTATGTGCCACATGGTAAAGCATTACTCAGTTTCATGATTTTTATGATGTGATGATGTGCCTAATTAATTGAAATGTTACACATACTGAAATGCTAGTCTCTAAGAAGATAAATTTATTAATTAATGTAATTATTACATAATTAGAAGGGAAATTACATAGTGACACAATTATATTTGATTATTTATAGAAATGTTGGAATAACAGCTGTAGATTAAATTATAATTGATCACACATTTGTGGTCATTGTCTAACATAAAAGGAACTGCAATGAGGAACAACTAAAGCAATAATTATCTAGTTTACTTGCTTTGATTTGGTGAATAAATCTATACAAATAAATAAAATTGAATTGTCTATTTCTACTATCAAAATAATTTATTAGTTCCATGCAAAAAAATTAAAATTAATGAAAACCAATAGTAATAAATTCCACACAGGCGATGTCACGGGGAACAGCTAGTTTTTAATACTATTTAAAGAGACAGTTTTATAAGAATAGACTAAAACAATTCAATTAATTCTTTCACTTTCATATATTGCTGATCTTTTGTAGTATGAAGCTAAAAAAATATATTGAACTTCATGAAAAGTGATCATACATTTGTTAAAACTTTACACCCACACCCCTCATGAGCACTTCTAATTGTTTTTCGAGATTAATAATAAATTGCCTAACTTGATTTTAATTTAATTATAAGATTGGAAACACAAAACTTATTAAACTGTAAAGAGCCATGGATCCAGATTTGGAGAACATCAAACCTTGCTAAAATTGGTTTTGCAATGAATATCAACTATGCTCATTGATATATGCTCACTGATCTGATAATGACTGATGATGAAGAAAGCTTTGTTGTGGTATATTTGACTCTGTTTGGCATTCTGAATTTAATAGGGAAGGCTTATGTTAAGCAGTGGGACTCGTAATACTCATCTGTAACTAATAAAATACAATGAGATATTGATTTTTGTGTATGCTGTAGAAATAAGCTAATTTTATTGCCTTTCCCCTATTAAAGGCATTTTAAATGATTATAGCTTACTTAAAAAAGGTTATCAAAATTATTAACAAAACCGAAACATCTGTTTTGAATAGTTGGAAAAACATCTGCCAGTATTTTCTATTCATTATTTTTATAAACTAGAAATTAGAACAAAAGTTGAGCATTTATTTCATTGTACATAGTTAGGGCTGCTGTCTGTCTCGGTATCCTAGGATTTGTCCTAGTTTTGAAATTTACAGGTACTATTTGAATCAGATACACAAATAGTGACTGGGGAACACTTGAATATTTGAATCTTAGTTAAATAAATAAATAGAAACTAGATCTTCTAAAAATGTAGCAACTACTTATTATTATTAAAATGAGGAAGCCCTTACTTAGAATAGTATAAAAAATATTTTTTTATCTACTCTTAAGCGAGTACTAGACTGCTAACACACTTTTTGGTAAGCAGCCAAAGATTGGAAAGCACACAGACTTGCTTAACAAAAGCCTATTCACTCTTGCCTTAAGGACGCCCATATTTTAATCGGATGGAATGACAGATGCTTGCAACTTATTCCACTCCTTTGCTGTACTCATGACAAACAATGAAGTAAACCATTTGGTTCGAATGTATTTTGACCAGATTCGGGTCATCAAAGAGCCTGTTCGAAGAGTCCAAAGTTGCTAAGTGGTATTTTGCAGTACTTGCCCATATGTGGCAGCAATTCTCTATGCATGACTAAACTTGCTCTTTATTATTATATTTATATAGAGTAAGCAACTGCCCCGTCGTGAAGTAGCGCCGCACCTTTGCAAGAAAACTTAACTTCCTTGCAGTTTTGAGTGAAATTGTAGTTTTTTTGGATATTATCGCATTTACTAACTTATTTTAAATTCCCAATAATTCAAATACTTTACAGTTCTCATTCCTTGCAGTTTCTTTTGCCTTGGGCTCAATGATCCGTCCAAAGTTCAGATTGGAGGAAATCTCAAGCCCTAACAACTGAAGGCTGTTATAGCCCCACTATGTTCAATTCTCGTTGCCTTTGCTAAGGAAACACTTTCGCACATTACTGCTGTCCCAACGGCTGTAGCCCTTACGGGGAGTGGAGCTGGACTTAACCCTTTCTTCATATAGGGTCACACGGGAATATCGTACGCACTACCTCGAAGCGATAGAGAATGGACTAACCCCATGTTCGCCGCATAGGCCTCAATTATGAGGGGTCGAGGAGGGCCTGATATGCTTTTCTCTGGTGTCCGGCTTTCCAGCTGTGGATCGGAATATATGTTGTCCTTTCTCTCTCCTTCAGACTGAACCTGATTGCAGTATGCGTATCCAACCATAACTTAAATTAAACGGGGAACGAGAGGTCGTCCTTTATTACAGCCACGGGGTAACGATGCAATTTAGCCTGAGCAATCATCTAGAGTATGTGGTGCCGTAATCTCGCCTACAGTGGTGGCACTCGTTTTTAGACTCTCTTTTGGCTATGTAGCCCATGCTCAGAAAGCACCTGCATGAACTGAAAGGCCATTGACCCCTGTCGCTGTACATCCAGTTTGATAGGATCAGACGGAACGTGTCCGCGGTGTTTGAGTTTTTGCCCGGTATTGGTTATTTAGTTGATGGCAGCCCTGTACTAGTGCATGCAGCGGTTATTCCATGTGGGTTACAAATTTACAACACGTGATATCGAAAAAGCGAGAGGTTCGGAGCGAGGTGCGAGGTGCGGGTGTTGTGAGGCGCGTGTGTGGTGGCGTGCGCAGACGCGGGCGAGGAGCGGCGCGTGTCGGTGTCGGCGGGCGCGCCGCTGGCGGTGGAGTGCCGGCTGCGGCCCGAGCAGCGCGCCGTGTGGCGGCTGGACGGCGGCGCGCCGCCCGCCGACCTGCGCGCCGAGCCCGAGGCGGCCGCGGCCGACGGCCGGCTCACCGTGCGCCTGCGCGCCGCCGCCGCGCGCCCGCACCACGCCGGCCTCTACACGTGCAGCGCGGACGGCAGCCGCGGCCCGCGCGTGCGCGTCGCCGTGCTGCCCCCGCCCACTGCCCTCGCCGCGCCGTCGCCACCGCCACCGCCACCCACTGCCGGTACAGAGCCCGACGCCGCTCTCTTGCTGCTCGCTTGCGACGACGTAGTTAGACTCTGTACAAATCGTTTCGTTCCGTAGTTAGTTTAGTGTAGCCGCTTCGTTGGCCGCAGTAGGGTTTATGTTATTATTTATTTATTCTTTATTGTACACCAAAATACAAAAAAACCATTCGAATACATTTTAAAGTACATGTACCTACCTACAATAGGTGGTCCTATCTTTTGACCTTTTGCGTAAAGGACTGATTGCGACAATGGTTAAAATAGAGGGGATATACAAAAAAAAATATGTAAACACAAAACATGCATATATACATACATATAAATGTTACGTTTATGTTGTCGTCACGTCGCCCGTAGACTATCGCTTCACGCCTCGACTCGTCCCGCCCAGGTCCGTGGAGGTGGTGCCGCCGGCGACACACCCGAAGCGGTCGCGTGCGCAATTAACCGCTACTTATTTTCTGGCAGTGTTATTAACTTTATTTGTGCTGTCTAATCGTAACTCGTTAACAAGAACCAACGCCGCCGGAATGTCGTCTGTGTGGCACCATCGACTAAGAATCCATTTGAATCATACATTTACAAAAAATAAGATCGCGTAGTACGATAGTTGTAAGTTGTACACGAGTAAAGTGCGCCAACTAGTAAGCCTGTTACAGATGAGGAGACTGATCAACCGGAGCTGCTGTACGACGTGCGCGCCAACTTCACGCTGCGCTGCGAACTGCCCAATGATAACAGTTTAGCTTATGTGTGGTACGTACCCCCGACCGTATTTAGATACAAACTCCTTAAAATTTTATTCAACAGTACATACACACTACATACATGTTATTAATGAAATAAGTAAACACACATCTCATCTTGTGGATTATGTAAAAGTCGACTAAAGGAAATGCTAATAAATTCTTGTAAGTCAGTGACAGATGCAATATTCGTTTGTATAACTTAACCAGATATAAAAAATAAAACAATTAATATGCCAATTAATTACTTACTTGCGCCTGAAAGCGGAGCGCGGGTGCACGTAGGATAGTTGTCTCTTAGCGACGTGCGTGCGGCCCTTGAGAGACTTAAGCCCAAACGGTCGGTAGGTCCGGACGGTGTGCCCCCCTATATTGTTAAGGACTGTAGGATGGTAATAGTTCGCCCTCTTCAACATTTGTTCAATATCTGTTTACGTGATCGCTCGTATATCCTGACGGTTAGAAGGTGACTAGGGTAACTCCGGTCCCGAAGGGTGCTCTGAGCTCAGATGTTAGTGGATACAGACCTGTAGCGGTGCTGTCAGCGTTCGCGAATGTCTTCGAGTCAGCATTGTGTTCCTGCATTTACTCGCAGGTTAACGTACAGTTTAATGATGCAGAGCATGGTTTTCGAACGTGCCACAGCACAAATTCCAACTTGATGTGCTTTTTGAATTACTTAGCACCAGCTCTTGATTCAGAAGCGGGTGCCCAGCTGGACGTAGCCTATTTCGACTTTAGGATGGCTTTCGATACTGTGGACAATGACGTCTTGTTGAGGAAATTCGCAATGGATGGTTTCACTCCAGACCTATTGCAGTTCTTTTCTAGTTATTCAGGGAACCGAAGGCAATTCGATTGATGAAATGATTGGATGTCATCAATCCCGTTGTACGTGTACGTGATTTTCGTCTTATTTACCGAGGACGTGACGTTTCGTACTCATATTGTACAGGTGTGTAAAAAGGCCTTTAAAAACCTGGGCTTCTTATTGCGTCAAACGCATGACTTCCTTAACACTGCCGCTGTGAAGTCATTTTATAATGCTTTAGTCAGAAACAATCTAGAAACCAGTGCTATCATCTGGAATCCTTATGAACCCAAGTATAGCCTCATGCTGGAGAAAATACAAAATAAGTTTACCCGGTACCTGTATTTAAGGCAATACGGGGTGTACCCTTTTATTCCTCTTATGTATCCAACCCTTTGTTTAATAGGAATGGTTGGATATTATAAGTTGGGAGGTTACATATTTATGATCTTACGTGTTAGATTAAACAATCCGGAAATTCTGAAATCACTGCGGTTCCTCGTGTCTAATCCTAGGCTGCGACAGGGGGCTGAGGGGAGGGTCGCTGGACCTACCAATTGCTCGTACAAATCTTTTATCACCACCACAGTCAGTAATTCATTCTTGGGGCAATCTATATGATTTTATAACAAAATCCTAGGAAATACACAAAATTTTTTCACCTCACAGTATAAAAAGGATTATTGTGATAACCCCTGGAAATGAACGCTACCTACAAAGCCATGTCTAATTTCTTCAGTGTATTTAATTGTGTAACATAATATATTATGATTGTAAACTGTTCTTTTTTCAAAAATAAAGTTTAGCTAGTTTTTAAGTATTATTTATAATATAATATATTAAATTAAAAAAGTTTCTATTTCAACGCCTCCTTTATGCACAACAGTTAATTCATGAGGCACCCTTTTTTGAGTTTTTTTATTTAACCAATTTTTTGCAAATATTTACCCACAATATTTGGCTATATTGTTGGTAAACTAACGTCAAACCATACTGTTAACTCCTTGTTTGTGGAGTAAGGATTGGCTTACACCATTATTTTTAATTAATTGTTATTTATCTTTGTGTCTGGTCTTTCTCGTGGCTCAGTCTTCAAAGTCGAAAGCGATTAAATGATACGCAGCATTGATATTGCGAGCTGCCTTTGCTGCGTTAGAACCACCTCAGAACTTATTTTCGAAAATTACTCTTAAACTAGAATGTAAAAACAACTGAAAGTCAAACAATAGTCATAAAAGTTTAAAATGTAGAATGATGTAGTTTTTAAATATTTGGAACATGCAGGTTTTACTTCAATTCAAATTGGATGTTGCACGTTTTAGTGGAGTAGCCACGTTAACATCATACTTTAACATCTATTATTAACTATATTACTTCTTTATATTTATACGCGTCTATTGTGCCAGTTATATAAAATAATAATTCATGGATAGTGCTATATCTTTGGCGTTTACTCCTATCAAACATGTTAGTGTTCGCACCTTGACGTCAATTATTATTTCATCAAAGAGTGCGATTAGATGTTATCTTCGTAGGGAAGTTAAGACACGACTTTTGTTTGTTACTGATTTTAGTTTATTATCATAAATATAACGTATAATTTTAAGAAACATTTTCTATCCATGTTTGCATAAGAATCTTATCGGGTATCTTATTTCGTTATTTAGTGATTTCCAGGAAAAATAATATTAACTTACATCGCTTACTTTAAATTAAAGAAATGTTGCCTTTTTACAGCAGTTAGCTTTCGTTACATTGGAGACATGGATCTTTCAATAAAAAAAAATTCAATCGATTTGTTCAATCAGTTAATTGAAGTCTATAAATTAGCAAATGATCGAGTTGAAACATTGAGATGACTTCGTTTAATTTACAATTGAATCGATTGTGGCTATCGCAGGACAAGTTATAGGAGGATTGTAATCATTTATAGACAGAAGAGAAATGATTAAAAATACGTATTAGTTGTAATTACGACTAATATGTATTTAAAAACGGATTGACGATTGCAGTGCCGAAGGTCTCGCATCTTCGATGCTGCTGCCCGTCGCCGGTTTCATGTAAACGAGAAAAATAGCGCCATTTTTCAGAATCCATAAGATTTTTCTTGCTTTTTTTTATAGGATAGGGTGACAAACGAGCACACAGTCCATCTGATGGTAAGTGGTTGCTGTGGCCCATAGACAGAAATGTCCTCGTTTGCGAATCAAAATGCAGTTGCGTTGTCACCCGTGACGACTAAGATGGAATGCCTCTTTTCTAGTAAAAAGGGTCTCCGGTTCTCTACACTCACCATACGAAACACAGCAGTGTTAAGCTGCTATTTTAGGCTGGTATTCTGTGAGAGCGAGGTCTTTCCCCGGTCGAGCCGACCCATTCGTGCTACAACTATACTACTAATATAGCTGCAGGCATGGTTCGACGTATACCTTCAGTTGCCTCTTACGAAACTCACGGGAAGACATGTGATGATAGGTTCTGTTACGCCGCCCTTGAGCTTTTGGTACATATTTACAAATGTACATAAAAACAAACTTTCTCTTGGTATTGTTATATTATGTACTAATTGTTCCCCGCGATTTCGCCCGCCCGTAATTTAGGGTTAAAATTATGTTGCGCGGAACCCTAATTTAAAAAAAATATAAGTAGCCTAAGTTATTCCTTATAACATCAGCTATCTGCCAGTGAAAGTCCCGTCGAAATCGATACAGCCGTTTCGGAGATTAGCTGGAACAAATAGACAGACAGACAGACGGACATACAGACAATTTTTTTTAATTGTATTTTTGATATAAGTACCGTATATATTTTCATATGCATTGAGTAAAAAGCTGTAATTTTGACATTACAAACAGACACTTCAATTTTATTTATTTGTATAGATAGGTCGTATGAGGAAGCTCAAGGTCGCTCAGCGAACTATGGAGTGGGCTATGATTAGAGTTTCTCTGCGAAATAAACTTAGAAAATTTCTAATATTTTTTTAAGTTTAACTTTTAATGCGAATATCCGCAGTAGAGATAGTAGACATAGCCCAACAAATTAGTAAGCTCAAGTGGCAATGGGCCGGCCATATAAATCGCAGAACCGGCAACCGATGGGGAAGAGAAGTTCTCGAGTGGTAGCCTCGCACCGGTAGGTGAAGTGTATTGCGGTCCTCCACTAGATGGAGTGACGAGCTGGTAAGACATGCAGGAAGTCGATGGATGCAGGCAGCTCAGGACCGTGATTTGTGGTGTTCCTTGGGGGAGGCCTATGTTGAGCAGTGGACGTGGACTTTAATGATGTTGATGATGGTTATATTACGAGAAATGAAAATACAAGAAGAGCTAATATAATGTTAAATCATTGGAAAACTAAAGGGAAGAGTTTCTGTATTTTTGATTGACTTCAAAAAGCAGGAGGTATTCAATTCGACTCTATTTTTATGTGTTACCTCATAACTTTTTTTCTAGGTGAGCGATTATGATGTTTTTTGTTTGAAAGTTGGTGCTTATCATGTGGTCCCATATAAATTTGATCAGATCTGACCAGTAGTTTTTGAATTATCAATAATAGTGCGTATTTAATTGACTTCGATTACATTGATTATGTACTCATTATATTTATATTGAAGTCGGTTGTACAAAATTTTTAATTTTACTGCTTGTGTAGGACGAAGAACGATACCAATGTTGTGGACATATGGGATCTGAAGGATCGGTACAAGTTGGAGCACGGTGGTGCGGAGTTCATTGTTCCGCGAAGTGTAGAAGATGATTTCGGTAATTACACGTGCGGGCTCAGTGGCACAGAGGCTGTTCAGCGTTGGGCAGTTCGTGGTCGCGCCTTCACCAAGCTGCCGGCCAACACTAACGTTGTGGAGGGACAGAAACTCAAGTTGCAGTGCAAGGTGTGTTTTTTTTGCAAGTAGTTAGTGTAAGATCTTTGTCGACATTTGTATTTGTAGATGCTAGGTGTGTGTTTGTAAAAATTATCTATGTTATTTAACTGTAAAGTTAGGGGACCATCAAGTGATCAGAACTCTTGACTGTAATGCTGCCACTGCTGGACTTAGTTCAAATTCTAGCCGGATTCCAAATTTGTGCAAAAATACAAATTGCTGGTGTTTCGGTCTGGTTTTGCTATATCTTTATGGGGCAATGTATGGTGGGGGAGGCCTATGTTCAGCAGTTGAAGACGTTGTAACAGTAAAGGCGTGGTGTGGTGCAGGTGGTGGGCAAGCCGTACCCGCGCGTGGTGTGGACGTTCAGCAACGCGTCGGAGGGCGAGAACGCGAGCGACGTGCGCGCGCTGCTGGGCGAGCGCGTGACGCTGCGGCGCAGCGCGCAGGGCGTGGAGGACGGCGAGCTGCTGCTGGACGCCGTGCTGCGCTCCGACGCCGGCCTGTACTCGTGCGCCGCGCCCGTGGGAGCGGCCGGCGCCGCCAACGTGGCGACCACCACGCTGCGCGTCAAGGACATGTACGCGGCGCTGTGGCCGTTCCTCGGCATCTGCGCCGAGGTGTTCGTGCTGTGCGCCATCATCCTCGTGTACGAGAAGCGCCGCACCAAGCCCGACCTCGACGACTCCGACACCGACAACCACGACCAGTGAGAGCGCACACTTACTCCAATTCACTTACGCTCCTCAACACAAACACGTTTATGTATAATTTTTTTTTAATATACTACGTTTTTAAAACTGACTAAAAAGTATAAATTTCTGTTTGATTTTTTTTCCATATGCTTAGGTTGGCACCCGATTCTGAACTATGTTCAAAATTGGGCCAAATTCGCCAAATACTTAAAAGCTACTCAATTTAAAGATATCGTTATATCTCGCGGTGTTACCGTCACTTTAAATTAGTAATAGAGACAGCAAGAGACTTACGCCATCTTAAAATTGAAGTGTTTGAGTATTTAGGCATTTCTCATCGGAAAGTTAGCTTAAAATCAATTATTCCTTTCTCTTTCTCTTTTGTTAATCAACTTAATTATCACAACTACGTGGTACAGTGGCTTAACTATAAATTACGGAGCTGTAAGCCGGGAGTTCGAATCCCGTACGGAACAGCTATGTGTATGGCCTACAAGTAATTGTTCTGGGTATGGATGTTTGTCCTTAAGCAATTTATGCTTGTAAACTGCCTCCACGATACAAGAGAAAAGTCTAGTGTGGGGGTAACATTTTTTTAAAAGAGAAAGAATTACTAATTTTAACCCAAACACATACGAAACCGATTTAATAAAAACGTGGTAAAAACGGAATCCTCATAACCTATGCACAGTGTTCATAATTTAAACTCACCTCAATAAACACAGCAACGAATCATTATCTTATTATTTCTTATCACACCTACATAATTACAGATAGTAATTTTTGTAAGAAAAATATTGTACTTTACTTCTCGATATTTTGATACTTGAGTACTGAGCATGTACCGATAAAATTGTGCATTAAAGAAACAAGAAGTTATTTCCTAAAATTACCAGATAAATACAAAATCAAATTAATTGACTGATGACACTTTTTTTTATCTTTACCTTGTTAATCAATGTATCCAACACTGATACAAATACGTAATCGCAACCTTATCGTTTATGTCCATGCTCCTTTCATTAGATAGCTGCCTTTAGATTTGCTTTAAATCTGCTACAAGGTTCCAATTTAGGACCGTTACTATATCTCATATTTGTCGTCGTTTTGTAAATTATACCTTACTATGTTAGGTGATTCCTCTGATACCAGCATGTTGTTAACCCATCAAGGTTGCTTAGAATCTTGATAAATTGGTTACTGCTGACAATGTAAAATAATAATATCCTGCAGACTGAATTTCGGTCACGACGGCCAGTCTCAACGGAGACTAGCCATCGGTGCAGGACCGGATTATAGTGCCCAAGTGTATGCGCAAGCACAGGTGCACACTCTTATTCCCTCGCTCTCATAATCCGATGGGACGGTAACACGACCGGAGGGAGATCAGGCGCAAGACCAACGGCTTTATTTGCTCTCCGAGGCACGGCGGTTGAGACAGCGCCAACTTCTTGACTCCGGGCAGCTATTGAGAATTTCTTACCGGAAAAACTCAATAACAGATTTTTTTCGGCCGACCCGGTTTTTGAACCCGGGATCTCATGGTCAACAATTGCGTTTTACATCTACTAGACCAGGCCATTTAGTCCATAATTTGTTATAGATACTATAAAAAAAGGCTTGAAATTTATATACGTAAAAGTAGGTTATTAATTAAATAGATAGTGCTTGTCCGAGCCACTGGGTACATGGACACGGACATGTACCCAGTGCCTCAAAAAAGCATACTTTAGTTTCTCGCTAATTGCGTTAAAAATGTCGTGGGCGCTCCCACGACTCCTGTGCATCAGTGACGCGGTTCTTTTGCGAATAAGAGTTTAAAAATTATCTATGAGGTAGTCGGCAAACATATCTGATACACTACAGTAACGTTGGGATCAGAGAAACAACCTAAAAGTTATAGTTACCACTTAATAACATTTAAGGCCTGCCACGTACATACGGAATTCCGAACGGGTCGGCCACACACATTTGGAATCCCGTTTTGCCCGCAAAATTTCGAACGGAAAGCTACCGTACGTGTTTGATGGGTCCATGATTTTATATGGACTTGCTGCGTTTGGAATCCCGAAACGGAATTCCGTATGTATGTGGTTGGCCTAAAACTTTAATTAACAAATTTTTTATTGCTTTACAGGAAGAAGTCGTAAGCGCGCTTAGAGCCGCGGTGGATTGGTGTCGCTAATCTACGCCATTTTCGAGTTTTTTTTTTTAATTTCGGACACGTTAACCAAAAAGTTATTTGTTATTTAATTAGAAAGCTTTACTATCATGTGATGGATGGACCATAAGACCGGTGGTCTCGTATAGTGCGAATGTTCTCACATTTTGTGATAACACAAATGAATATAATATTGTTATATTTATTTTGTACTTACCCATTGATTATTATTGATTTATATTTTGTTAGAAGCTTTAAAGACCGTAGTCAAGTTAATCCGTGACAAGTGATGGGTTCATAGTAACGTGGCAGCGGCGCGTCGTTGCCACGCCGTGTTCATATTGCTAAATACTAATACACGAACTAAATAAATTATTATATACGTTTAAGTTGTGTTTTTTTTTCGACATAACCTTTGGAATCAATTTAAACATTTTAATATACGTTAATACCCTGTAACAGAGTACCCCAGATGCGGGGCTTATTGTTACAAACGACTGCTCTCATTAAAGTGCCATTTTAAGTAGGTTGTTGCTAATAATAGTTAAGCTTAGATCATTATAAGTAAGGAGAGACTATTAAGGTTTATATCCATGCTAGTTAAAAGTAGCCTAAATTAACATTTTCGTCACTACATTGCCGTTTATTTTTTTTTGTAACACTGTGCCCAAGCTTACCCTATTTAATTTCTGTAAAAAACAATCATACTACCCAACCTTCAATCAGGTTTTAGAAAAAGTAATGGAACAGCAACAGCTCTTATTAATGTCGAGGATGGATATATTATCCTTTTCGGTTTCTGGAGAAGGTACTATTCTCACTTTGCGGTGAAAATGTTAGAGCACCTAATTTTTAAACTTGGCACCTAATTAGCACCTAAAAAGCCCCTAATTTTGGATTTTTCCAAATGCAAATTTCCGACTTTGCGTTGCTGGCGATACACAACTGGATGCGCCCGTACTGTACTGTTCATATGTTGAGCGCTGGCAGAATAACAGCGTTGTAGGCAACTGCAACATTTATGCCGAGCTAGAGCCCATTCATTACTACACTATCTAATTCTTGTTATTTCTGTGTGTACTACTCATTTAATTGTATTGGTGGTAATGAATAAATGCTTATTATTATCTTTACCTTTTTTTTTTAATTGTTTTATGCCATAATTCCAATTAATCTGTAATCCTGTGAGGCACTCCTTTTATTATAGCATTAGCTTATATTATCACAAGAAGTACGGATATATTTTTATAGGTATGCTAATGTCTACTAAGTATCTTGTGGTCATTTTTAATGATGTTTCTATAAATGACTGCACACAGCCGAGGGAGAAATTCGGAAGAAAAACAATATACGAATTCCGATTCGCGGTTCCGAGTCTCTAGGTCCCTAGTGTGGATAAACGGAATAAATCCTCGTTGGTTGTAATGTTCAAGTTAAAAGTAAGCTCCGGTGTTACACTACCAATTTACAACGTCCTTGTTACCGAATAAAATATTTTTATTTAGATAAAAAATATGCTGTACTTATCTACGATATATTTATAAGTTAAGATGTAAATTTGTATTGTTCTAACAAAATTATAATAACGAGTTTTATTAATTATATAAGAGTAAGTAACATACATAATGGTAGTGAAGTGTCTATAGCGAACATGTTTTTATGTTAATGTAAATAGAACATAGTGATAAAAACTTTAATATCACTAATAATATTTGCTCCAGTATCTTGTAAGATCGTGATAATGTTATCATTTTGCGACATATATTTATCAACCGCAGAAACGATTAAGCTAGTACGATAATAATGCGTATATTTGACGACCGTATCAAATTGTTTAATTGAGTGTTTAACGTTATAGAGAAGGCTTGAACAACGCGATACACGTTTGTATGCTATGAAGAAGGAAATAAAATTTAAAGAACTTCCGTCTTGAGTGGCTGCTAACTATTTACTTACTTATTCAATCTTTTTGTAACAGACCTTGAAGGGGTTACATTTGGCGGATTAATAGAAACAGAAACTTTTTTATTCAATATAGATTATAAATAATACTTATTGAAAGTCACTCTTTTGTATGATTACCACTGGTTCGAAAAAAAACCTCTGTCCTGGGAAGAACCAGCAAGAAACCCAGCGGGACTTTTTTTTTTAAATAACAGCTTACAATCATGTATGTTACACAAATTAACAACACAATAAATTAGAAATAGCTTGGTAGCGATCACCTCATTTCCAGGGGTTATTATCATCTATAAATTCATTAATATTATAATAACCCTTTTTATACAAACTTAGTTTAATAAAGTTTTTGAACTTTGAGCAGGTCAAATTTTGTATATTTTCTGGAATTTTGTTGTAAAAGCGTATATACATCGCCCCACGAATGAATTACTGACTCGATGAAGTCGAGTAACTGGTACTACTAGCTTGTGTCTGTTCCTAGTATTTACAGAATGAATATCACTTATTTTTGTAAAACTACTTTTATTTTTGTGTACGATCTGCCGCGGGAACTACGGGCAGTATCGGTGTGGCGGTAGGGCTGCACCAAGGGTCGGCACTGAGCCCTTACCTCTTCCTACTGATTATGGACGCTTTGATGTCGGACCTGCAGGATGAGGCACCCTGGTGCATGCTCTTTGCCGATGACATCGTGCTTGTCGGGGAAGAAGGCATCGAGGTACAGAGCAGACTGACGGGGTGGCAACGGAGGCTGGAAAGTGTTGGCTTGAAGATCAGCAGATCCAAAACCGAATATCTGTGCTGTGATTTCGGCGGTCTTTCCAGTCCTGTACCCATGTCGTTGGATGGCGCTATACTGCCTATCTGCTCAGATGTCAAGTACCTCGGTTCCCTCATTCAAGGCGACGGAGGAATAGATAGAGCTGTGCAGCATAGGATTAACGCAGGGTGGATGAAATGGCGACAGGTCACAGCCACAACGTGCGATCCCCGAATGCCAATAAGGCTGAAGGGGAAAATTTACAAATCGATCATCCGACCTGTCGTCATGTACGGAAGTGAATGCTGGGCCGTCAAGAAGAGGGATGAAAATAGACTGCATGCGAATGAAATGAGAATGTTACGATGGATGTGTGGTGTGACAAGGATGGATAAGATAAGGAATGAGTATATAAGAGGAAGCTTGAAAGTAGCGCCAGTGGTAGAAAAGGTGAGAGGAAGCAGATTGGCATGGTTTGGGCATGTGATGCGGAGGAATGAAAGTCATGTCACAAAACGAGTGTTGAATATGAATGTGGAGGGACACACGGGCAGAGGAAGGCCGAATAAAAGATGGATCGATTGTGTGAAGAGTGATATGAGAATGAAAGGAGTAAGTATGGAAATGACGGCTGATAGAGAGGAATGGAACAAAAAGATTTACTGCGCCGACCCCAGATAATGGGAAATGGTTTAGAGAATGAATGATGAACTTTTATTTTTGTGTACGTACATTACATTTTCATAAATGTATTGAGAGGCCAAAGTTAATATATCAATTTCCTTAAATTTTTGTCGCAGCGACTCTAGGCTTTAAATCATAAATTGCTCTTATGACCCTCTTCTGTAAAACAAATATAATTTCAGTGTCAGCTGCGTGTCCCCATAGCAAAATACCATACGACATTATGCTATGGAAATAGCTAAAGTAAACTAGTCTAGCTGTTTCAACACTAGTTAGACTTCTAATCTTTTTTACGGCATATGCTGCAGAACTAAGTCTGCTTGCTAGTTTTGATATATGGGGGCTCCATTGAAGCTTCGCGTCTAGTGTGATTCCAAGAAAAATAGTGGTATCTACAAGACTCAGTTTCTCCCCATTTAAAATTACAATAGTATTTAATTGTTTGACATTTGCAGTCATAAATTTCATACATTTCGTTTTAGTGCCATTTAAATGCAAATTATTAACATTGAACCAATTTACTAATTTAGATATAGCATTATTTACTTCGTCATATTTTAGCAATTGTCGACTTAATTTGAAAATTAAAGAAGTGTCATCTGCAAATAATACTATATCATGGTTATCTCCTACTATGTAAGGTAAGTCATTAATGTATACAAGAAACAGAAAGGGGCCGAGAATTGAGCCTTGAGGCACGCCCATTTGTACCATCGACCCGGAAGAACTCATACTGTTAATGACAACTTTTTGCGTTCTCTTACTTAAATATGAAATAATTAATTTAAGAGCATCACTTCTTACACCGTAGTGTTCAAGTTTCCTGATTAATGTCATCTTCATGGTGAACACAATCGAAGGCTTTGGATAGGTCACAAAATATACCCAAAGCATCGTGTGAATTCTCCCATGCATTAAATATATATTTAACCAGCTCAACACTGGCATCAGTTGTCGAGGGACCCCTTGTGAAACCAATTTGATTTTTATGAAGTAAATTATTTATATTAAAGAAATTTAACATTTGATCAAGAATAATTTTTTCAAAAATTTTACTAAGTGTTTGTAGTACAGAAATAGGTCTAAAATTAGCGGGGTCTAATGTACTACCAGATTTAAATAAAGGTATTACTTTACTATACTCCATTAAATCAGGAAATACACCAGATTCGATACTAGTATTAAAAATAATAGCTAAATGAGGCGCGATTGTATCTATTAAAGACGCAATAACTTTAACGGAAATCCCCCACAGATCCGCAGTTTTCTTAACACCAATAGTTTTAAAATATTTTACAATATCTTTTGATGATACTTTATGAAATGCAAAATTCTTTGTACTAATGACATTCTATACCAGTCAGCCTTACTACTATTATTAACTGCAGACTGCAAAAATGTGGCATCGGATTAGGTACTTGAAAACTTGCATTTGATATTACCACATTCCACCTGATGGTAAGTGAATTCTGTGGCCCATAAGATCTACATTTATCCTCGACTAAGAATCGAAATGCAGATGCGTTGTCAGCCCTGAGGACTAAGATGGAGTACCTGCTTTCCAGTAAAAAGGGTCTCCAGTTCTTTACACTCACCATACGAAACAGCAGTGTCAAGCTGCTATTTTATGCTGGTATTCTGTGAGAGCGTAGTCCCACCCCGGTCGAGCCAACGGATTCGTGCTACAACAATAATATAGTAGCAGCATGGCTCTACCACGTACAATCTTGTCCCCGAGCCGTTTTATTTCCTTGACAAACGAGAGAAGATTTTTATCCATTGTTTTGGCTTTTGCGATGAAAGCAATTGCTTGTATTTTTTCAGATCTGACTGGGAGCTTGATGCTCTCAATCAGTTCTGAAATTCGGTTTCCCCCATTCGGTTATTTTATTCAGTGCAGTGTCAGTAATGGTTTGTAATTTCGCAGTATTTTTAGCCCATGTGATTAGCGAAACATCATCTGCAAAAGTCTGTAAGTG